CCGGTCCCCAAGCTAGTGTGAAGGAGGAAGGGAGAAGACAGGGAGGAGCCTCAGTTGGGGTTTTTTTTTTCTGATTGGACAGCTTGGACCAATGATGCTTTGCCATTGGTCCAAGCCATCCACAGAGCTCACGCCTCTAACAAAGAGTACAGGCAGTGACATCTCATTCCTCAATAGTTAGGTTACACAAGCAGTGGGGAAGCCCGCTGCTGTGTAACCTAACTTAGCTGTCAAAAGCCGGATGCAGCGCTGCCTGTAATTAACTGGCAGCGCTCCGTCCATGACAGGTTACACAGCGGGGAGGCTTTCCTTGCTGTGTGACCTGTAACAAGCCGCTCTGAATGGAGAAAAAGCTGACAGCTTTTTCCTCCACAATACTAGGTGAGGCTCTGCCTCTCCTGACCGCACATCCCTGGTACATAATATAAGAAGCTTTAATGCAGCTACTCCTTGGAGTTAGGATGACCATACATTTGTTTCCCCCATCCACGCTGAACAGTGCTGAACGGGGAAATCTCCCCCACCAGTTTTTGTATGCTGAGAGCAGTCAGTGTGCTGCTGCAAGAATACCCAAACAGTGATTGCAGCTGAATGCCTGCGGCCTTGGAGCGGTGACTACTTTACACACACAGGAACCATGGGGAACAAAAGTAGCCACCCTCCAGAAGGAAGGACAGTGTCCGCACCAATTCAGAGATGATTTGAGGATCTACAGCCGAGTGGTGCAGACCGATTTGTGTGTGAATGGGGCCTTAATATATCCACAACGCAGAACCGACTTGTCCCTCCCCAGCCCCATGTGAAAGCGCTCTGGCAATCACAAAGCACCCAGTGACTATTTTCCTTTGTCCTCCACGGGCAACGGCATGGGTCACTTTAAGCCTCATCTCAGAATCCCCAACCGTCATTAATTACAGGCTGTCCTTTATTTAATAAAGCATATAGCTACGTTTTACATCTAGAAACTTATTGTAAAGAGTCATCAGTCAAGTTTTGATTTGTAAATTGATAAAGGCTAAAATGTTGGTTACTTCATCTTCTGGAAGTCCTTTGTACGGTCATGAAATAAACCCATGTGCCTCTCTGCTGCTATGTATGTGGCCTCCATTCCTCCAAGCCTTGTCTATCATTTGTGCCCGTTGTCAGAACAGCTACAGGCCGGGGTTCACTCTTGGTTTAGTAACAGGAAATCCTCCGTCTACAGCATGGTGGGAATAGGAAGGTGTTTACTGATGGGAAGGGATTCTGTGTACGTGTTCTCGTGTCGAATCGTGTTTGGACTTCATTGCAAGGCACATTCATAAACACTCATCACTCCATCTATCAAACATCCCCGAGTAAGACATAAATAATGGACTGTGCCAAGATGCAAAGGTCACAAGACAATTTGCACACAGTGATCCACCACCCCCCATTACAGGCGTGCATTCTATATATATTTTAATTACACATATATTAGCATACAAGGTATACATAGTGATAGTGAAAATACTCCGCTCCCCCACTACTTCTGACCATCCGGTTCTCTGATACTAAACTGTAAAAAAAAAAAAAAAACTTACTGATTGCTGTTTTGGCTCACATGGTGACTGCATGCCATGGCATTTAGTCACATGATCTCAGCTAAAGGGGCTTAGGAGTCTGACATTTGGGCAGAGGGGGCATGCCAGGACTCTAATCCTCAGGTTCTATTGAAACCTTGTGACTAAATGCCTAGGCAGATGGTCATGTGACAGGTCACCGGCAGTTTTAGCAGGACATGTAGTGTTTCTGTAACTTATAGATTTTATATCTGTAACATCATCTTAAGGGCTCATTCAGGCGGGCATGCACGCCCGTGAAAAGACCCGTGCCCGGAAAGGGGCAGGTGCTGCGTGTAATTGCACGCAGCAGCCTGTTCTTCCCTATGGGAGGACACGGCTGCATGTAGTTACACACGGTCACAGGCACACGCGAACCTGCACATGCCTGTGGATCCAGGTGCCTGCACTTGGACACAGAACGTGTGCATCCAAGTGTGGGCATCCAGACTCGGATAGATGTGCATGTGCGGGTGTGCCTGTGACCGTGTGTAATTGGGAAGAACAAACTGTTACGCACAATTACACGCAGCACCTGTCTCTTCTGCGATCTGATCTTTTTACAGCCGTGCATGCCCCTCTGAGGCCCCATACACACCAGGGTGGTATGGGGTGGTAGCGGTTCCACGCGGTTTCTGCACAATTTTTGAAAGGGCGCTTTTAATCGCATTTCAGTGATGAAACGCAATTTAAAACGCCCCAAAACGCGCTAATTAGCGAGTTTCCATTGGAATCTATATGGAATACGCGCTGATCAGAGTGAAGAAAATAGTTCATAGAGCATTTTGGGGTGGCAGGTGGTACGGATCGCTCGGAGCCGCGTGATTGCATGAATGGTCCTCATAGGAATGTATGGGATTGTTCATGTCGGCGGTTCAGCGCGACCGAACCGCCCTGGTGTGAACGCGGCCTGAATGAGCCCTTAAAGTTTTTATCTCTAGGCAAAATCTTTTTTTTTAGGTCTTGTATACATTAGGGAAGGGTTAGACCCTCTGCCAAGTTTTTATTGCTGTCTGTGTCCCCATTAATGAGATTAACTCTTTTATTTGTACTAGCGAACAGTAAGGAACACAGCTCTGTACAAAACTAAGAACTGACATCCAACTCTTTGTCTTCAGAAAACTTCACCGAATTCATATTAAGATTCGCAGCGCTGCATTAAATAAACAACATTTGGCAAAAATCAAATAAAAGCAGGAAAGAGAGGAAGTGCGTTTATTTTACTGAGCAATTATATATAACAATCGATTTTATGAAACCGTAAAAAAGCCTTTCCGTAAATGTTAATGTGCTCTAATTGTTTATCTTTATTGGTTCTGAAATGTGGGAAACACGAGTAGATTTTCGGTCAGGACATATTTTCATTTGTTCTTGTTTTCTAGATTTTCTATGAATCATGTACAGCGCATACGGTTATGTTCTCCCCTTTAGTTGTATGTAGGGTAATGTGTTCATCGTTCCTGTAGGCAGCTGCTGAGATTACAGGATAAGATGAACTCGGGATGGAAGGTCAAATGTAAAATATATATCAAGTTGATAAAGTGTTTAAAGAACTCCCGCCAGAAGTTTTATTAACCCTTGCAGTGGGGCTGCCCCCGCACTGCAAGGGTTAACGGCTCGTTAACCTGTGAGCCGGCTTGCTCTTAAGGTGCCCATACACCTTACAACCATCGCAAGACTTTTGTCTTGCGATGGTTGTAAGCTAATTAAAAGCTCATACGATCTGCCCATCTTGGACAGGCAGATCGTACTTGAGATCCTCGAAAGCCCGCCCCTCTGAGGGGCGGGCTTCCTATGACCGCAACGCTGAACGGGCAGTGTGCACTTGCGCACACCGGCCCATGCGGCACTTATCTTACGAGCACGCCACAAACCCGCCTAAAATCTTACGATTTTTGGCTGGTTTTCCAACATGCTCGTAAGACAAAAGACGTTCGAGCGTACAGTAGAAAGGGTTGCACGCCTTCCATACACGATTATCGTACGATCGCGGGATTTCCCGTGATTATCGTACGATAATCGCAAGGTGTATGGGCACCTTTAGACCAGTCCCCGGGGGGTCTCTTCCCCTCCACTGCAGCGTTCTAAGAATCCTTGAGTCATCGTATCCAATACAGTGTATAGGGCAAGAGGACGCTGAGGGACATGCCATTGCTGCAGAGGAGGAGGCGAAAGGGTAGAGGGTGCGCAGCAAAACCCTAAGCAAAAAGCAAAGGTTAATACAATTTCTGCCCGGCGTTCTTCTTTAAGGTTGGATTCACACCAGCGACTGCACTACATCCCACTGGTGCATCACATTGTTTACCTTTCTTTGTTAGAACTTTATTGAAATGTCACAAGTGACATTTCATGAAATTCTATGGCCATATGCAGTGCAATGTTGGTTGTACCGCGTCCCGCTGCTCGGAGGGCCCGTTCACACCAGCCACAGTGCATTCTGGCCCAATTGGCACTGGATTGCATTGCGGCCGGCTCACTTTGTGTTGAAGCGGGAGGGGGTGTGGTGGTGCATTGAACTTAATAGTCCTTGCAGCATTTCTTCTGACTGGACCGGACCGGAACGCAGGCATTGATGTGCCACACGTTCCTGTGTAGCTGATTGCACTGTGACTGGAGGGCGTGGCTGCAGTGCCATTGTATTCAATGCACCACCACGCCCCCTCCTGCCCCAACACAAAGTGAGCTGGTCGTAATGTGATCCAGTGCATTCCGGCCCCAATAGGGCTGGGATGCACTGTGGCTGGTGTGAACGGGCCCTGAAACAAAATACTGAATACAGAGCAACATGATGGTGTGAACTGTGCCTATCCATGACAAGGCAAATTGGCTGTTATTGGATGTTAACCATGACCTTGCATCCCAGAGCAAAACCCAGCTCAGAGAACAATGTTTATTTCAGAATAGAGCATGTATTGTGCAAACAAAGTCATGCTATGTGAATGGGAGTATGTAACAAGTATAAAATGGGTGTTATCCCAGTTTGGCTGCGAAAGTGGAAATACTCTTCAAAACCAGGAGGAAAGGAATGGGTATTGTTTTTATTAACCAATCAGGTTCCATTTTCTAACTTGTACCAAAACAGCTGAAATCTGATCGGTCACTTTGTATAAAAGAAACATTTTTATGCTGCTGTTATAAGCCAACCCCATCGACGGGGACATGCTTTCAAATGATGTGAATATTGGCAAATTCATCATTACATTGTACAGTGACTTTTCTTTCTTTTTTGTAGCGAAACAGTGTGGGAAAACATGGCACGTATGTGCGTCAAGACAAGAAGACTTGATGTAGCCAAAGTGTGCCTGGGAAAGATGGGCCATGCCAGAGGAGCAAAGGCTTTACGAGAGGCAGAGCAAGAGCCGGAGATCGAGACCAGAGTTGCCATGTTAGCCGTACAGCTGGGCATGCTGGTAGGCATATGTCCTCATACTGGAAGACTGGAAGCTGTTATCATTAGATTTCTATGGCAGGCACAATAGAGTTAGGATCAGTTCACTGACTCTGTTCAGGCACTTCATCCAGGATCTCATACATTATTATACAGGATTTATATAGCGCCAACAGTTTGCACAGCACTTTACAAAATAAGGAAGACATTACAGTTACAATACAAATCAAGATGAGGGCCCTGCACAAATGTACATCGATCCCTATTTACTGCAAAAGGCCAACTTTATTCCAAGGAGGGGCCTGCTCATGAGAGCTTATACATAGACAAAAATGTACATCAAGCCCTATATACTGCGAAAGGCCAACTTCATTCCAAACTGTGGAAAAAAGCAACAAGGATCTTTGTTAGGTTCACCATACAAGCTGTTGGGTTCACTAAACACTTTACAAGCTGATCATACAATCTCTGTACAATTAACTTTAGATTTACCAAAACTGTAATATGAGGACCAACCTAAACCGTCCAATCAATCTGTATCCAATCAGGCAGGCCTCTCCACTGCATACCTGTTGGTAGATCTAAAGGAGATTGTGCAATCAGATTGTGGTGTATAGTGAGCCTTAGCCAGAGCATTAGAATATGTAGTGAAGTGTGTCAAATATATACAAAGCAACTAGAATAAAACATAGATTTCCAAGATAAATTCTCTGCCACAGGGAAATTCCCCCTAATTTGAAAAGAATCTGAACAGCATATTTTTGGCCCTCAGACAGACCCATTGACAAACAGGAATCACATAACATTTGAGCTGTGTCTGATAAAATAATAGTGGCACAAGTTTGATCAACATCCAAGAAATCATAAGGGGCTGATTTATACATTTTCTGCCCAGCATGCAGCTGGGTGAATGTCATGCACACAACTCTACCACCACTAGATGGAGCCAAGGAGCATGAGAAATTCCTATGCTCTTCAGCACCATCTGGTGGCAGTAGGGCTGTGCAAATGGCATTCACCCAGCTATACACTGAGCGGAAGATTTATAAAGTAGCTCTTTAGTATCTGGGAACATTTTGAGTATTCTTGTATTGGGAACATTATTGGAGCTGCTGGCATCTATTTAGACAGAATTCTACTGCTTCTATGATACTTATTTGGCAAACTGTCAGATTATCCATATTCTGATAAACTGTATGTGAGGCACTTTGCTGCATATTGTAATTCTATGATCAAGGGCTTCCTAGGCCACAATACATAAGTGCCCTACCTACTTGAAACTTGTGTAAAGTTTGGGTAAAGTCCAGGGGTGCTATTGCATCTTTGTCTAGATTTGTATTCCGTTAACATCTTCCACAGCGCTGTATAAATTGAGGATAATTTAGAGCTGTACAGTAACAAATATTCAAAACCTCCATAAATCCTTAAATACTGTACAGAAGAACCCTGCCCTAAAGAGATTATAATCTTAAAGGAAAAGGTATAGACACAAATTGGTATAGACACAAAAAGGTATAGACACAAAAAGGTATAGTAGCAATTGTGTTGTAACAGCACAGTCATGGGAGAAATCAGATAACATCATATAGGGGTGTATTTATTGTATTAAACAATTCGCAAAGCCATTCACCCTGCAAAATTGCACGTACATTTGTTCTGTGTGAATGTATTTTTAAAAAAACAAATGTTATCAGCATATCTTTCCAGGTGGAATGTAATTTCAGGTAAATACCACAATGATGATGGAGATGAGGAGCATAGGAAAGAAGCATTTATTTTCTATGCTCCTGAGTGCCCTCTAGTGGCCATAATGCAGTATGTACCTGGAATTACATTCAATTGGGAAATAAATTATGCAAATAACATTGGTTTTTGCCTCCATTCACACAGAACCAATGTACGTGCAATTTCACAGAGCGAGTGGCTCTGTGAATTGTTTACAAAATCAACTTATAATGTGGAAGAGAGCAAGAAAAAAAGTGTTATGTTTTTCTTAAAGATGGGTTTAAGGGATGCATTGGCAAGTACCCTCAAGTAAAGGGAGCAGCTTGAAAAACTTCCTAAAGACATTAAAGTGGAAGTAAAGGCATGTACAAAAAAAATGCCAATCGGCAGGCTTTATGTGAGCTTTTTTCTATTATTCAGTATTTGTTTCTATATGTTAAAGGAGAACTATGGGGTCAGTGCTTTTCCCCATAGTTCTCCTAAGGGTCATGGGAGGACATAATATAGCGTCCTCCCCTGACCCAAAGCTCAGTATATAGCGAGCTACAGCTCGCGGTATACTGAGACCGCCACTGCCGGGACGGATCCCGGCATTACTGTCGAGATCCACCCAGCTGCGTGATTGACAGCTGGCTCTGCCTATCTTGAGGAATCTTGGCAAGGGTCTCTGCAGGGACAGGATCGAGAAGTGAGCGAGCGACGGTATGTGTTCGCTCACTTCCCGATCTATTGAGCCGACGTGTGACAGTTTCATTGTCACACATCGGCTCGAACTATGAGGTTGAGTGAAAATCACTGACCTCATAGTTCTCCTTTAAGCTGCACATGAGTGCACAGACCTGGCATGCCAAGATGAAGTAACTCCTGTGCTCATGCTTGGGAATGATGTCATCAGGGCCCAGGCCATACAAGCCTCAAAAGCCGCTGAGGGAGGAGCGCACCTCTGGAGGGGATCGGTTTGGCTGGTAAATATGCCGTAATCTGTTAATATGCTGTGCATACTAGCACATTTTGGCTAAAAGCTCAAGCTCAACCTAAAAGCTCCTTTACTTCTGCTTTAAATGGATATGGTACCAAGGACGAAGAAAGAAGAACCCTGGTTGGATTTATATCTAAAAAGTAAAAAGATTTATGGATGTCTTAGAATGAAGCAGAGCCTGAGGAGTGGTGACAGAGAGGTATTAGAGCTGCAGAATTCATAATGGGTTAGAAGGTTGCTGATCTGTTCAATTAGCTTTTATTGCTTAGTATAGTCAGTTTTCTTAATGTCTGCTTAAAGAATAAGTGCAAAAAAGTGCCACATACTACTTCCCCTTGTCC